CCCAGCATAGAACCAGGCATAGAACCCAGCATAGAACCAGGCATAGAACCCAGCATAGAACCAGGCATAGAACCCAGCATAGAACCAGGCATAGAACCCAGCATAGAACCCAGCATAGAACCAGGCATAGAACCCAGGAAGCAGGGAAATCGCAGGAGAAAACAGAGGAAGTAAATATTTTGCTCCATGAACTGAGAGATTATTTAAAGTTAAAATGTTTTAGAGCAGAGAAGCAGGAGGACATCAGAACCACAGCAGAACCAAAGCAGAACCGGCATTTAGAGGCTGATCCCATCAACATCTGGTGGAAAACTGTGATATTGAGGAGGACAGAGACAGAGGACAGAGACAAGGAGACGGAGAGGACAGGAGGAGGTAGAGAGGGTGGGGGGGACTCACCGCTGCAGCCGGCGCTCCGCTGAAGGTGACACCCAGGAAGGTCTCCCTCCGAGCAGACAACATGAGCTGCTGCTGCCTGCTGCTGAGCCTGAGACCATCGCTCTGGTTCTGGCTGGGAGCTGCTGGGAGGACTAAGGCAGCCGGAGAGGCTGGCTCCGCCCCCTTTCCCTCCCTCCCTCCCTCCCTCGCTCTCTCTCTCTCTCCAGGTAGTCGGCACGTGAGCAGATTAAAGCGCAGCGGGGGCTGAAGCCTCGTGCCTCCAGCACGCCGCTGTCCTTAGACACATGACCCGACCTGTTACCGAACAGAACCAGAACTCCCAGATTCTACTGGACTTCTGCATCTGGAACCAGTTCTAGATGCACATTCACACTGAGGTCTGGATCCTGGCTCTGGACAGCGGTCTATTAAGGTATAAGATCTGGAACCGTCTGGATCCTGGCTCTGGACAGCGGTCTATTAAAATATAATATCTGGAACTCGTCTGGATCCTGGTTCTGAACAGCGGTCTGTTGAGGTATAAGATCTGGAACCAGTCTGGATCCTGGCTCTAGACAGCGGTCTATTAAGATATAATATCTGGAACTCGTCTGGATCCTGGTTCTGAACAGCGGTCTGTTGAGGTATAAGATCTGGAACCAGTCTGGATCCTGGTTCTGGACAGCAGTCTATTAAGGTATAAGATCTGGAACGAGTCTGGATCCTGGTTCTGGAGAGCGGTCCATTAAGGTATAAAATCTGGAACCGGTCTGGAACCTGGTTCTGGAGAGCGGTCAATTAAGATATAAAATCTGGAACCGGTCTGGATCCTGATTCTGGACAGCGGTCTATTAAGGTATATAAAATCTGGAACCGGTCTTAATCCTGTTCTATCCAGGTTCGGTTTACTGTGTGGAATAACCTCTGGTTTGAGGATCTGATTATAAGCTTTAATTCTTGAAGAAGAAACGTTTAACTGCAGTGGATGGATGTGGCTGCCATCTTGTTAGGGTCCTGTTGACCCAACTTTCGCAACAGATACCAACACCGCTCCTTTGAGACATGACCGATACCGACACCGCCCCTGTGAGACATGACCGATAGACATGACCGATACCGACACCGCCCCTTTGAGACATGACCGATACCGACACCGCCCCTTTGAGACATGCCCGATACCGACACCGCCCCTTTGAGACATGCCCGATACCGACACCGCCTCTGAGACATGCCCGATACGACACCGCC